TCAGTGGCGAATACTGTAAAACATGTCTTTTTCGTGAGCATGTCTTTTTAGCGAAGTTAGCAAGAGAACTAATTTGCTAATTTAAGATGTCGCTAATGACTTCATTATAAATTCAAAATGGCGGCCAAACAACGTCTTTTTCTCTACACACACACTTTGTAAATAACTCAGAAAACGTAATAATCTTGAGCGCTTCCTTATTACACTTGATAGTTTTGTTTTGGCGGCAACAGACAAGTACTGTGGAATACTTTATTTTTGCTGGAATTAATTTTCGCTGAGAAGGCTTTTTGGGCATTTTGCATGGAATTTATTTTCACTGATTTTTGATGAGTTTAATGTAAAATATAGGAAAAAAAGTATATTCGCTGGATTTTATTTTCACGGAATCATCCCTTCAGCGAAAATAGCGAAAATAAATTCCAAGCGAAAATAAAGTATTCCACAGTATTGTGAAAACAGGAAATCAACAAAAACAAGAGAGAGCCGCTAAATCAACATTTCGATATTACGTCATTTTACCACAATTCGCTAAAATAGTATATCGTTTTTTCAACATGTTTTACAGTAGTCTTATTGAGCATTTCATATCATTGCGTAAGGTTCCTATTTGAAATGTTCGTTTGAAAGTTTACAATCAACAGAAACTGGATAAATAGGACATAAAAGCAATATAAGCTGTGTGATTCATCGTGCGAATCCATGCTAAAATTAAAATATTAAATTTGGGCATGTAATCATGAAATGTGTGTATTTAATTATTCAATTTCTATATTTTTAGCTCTGCTGTCAACTTTGTCTAGCGGAGCTTATATGATTGATTGTCCATCATTGTCCGTGTAAATTTTTTATTTTTTCAATTTCTTTTTTGAAAACTACAAGCCTTATTACTTTGATACTTGGTGCATATGTGCCTTGATCAGACGCTTCTCAAATTTGTTCATTTCATGATATTTTCAATTCTCTAATTTTGATGAATTTTTTTTTTTTATTTTTGGTAAAAACTGATATTTTTGACCTGTTAAAACCCGCAAGTCTGATGTGTTGCTGTTGCACACTGACCTTAGTTAGACCTCTCTCAAATTTGTTTTTTTTCTATAAAATGATATCTTCAGTTTTTTAATTGAAATGTGCATTGCTAACAGCAGAGCTATCTCAACCGACAGGCTGCTTGTATAATATAATTAGTAATTGTTATTCTTTCATTTCAATTTTATTTTTTATTTGTTTATTTTATCAATAAATTTTCTACATCTTTTTATTCATATATTTTGTTAAATTAAATAATATTATTAAAATATGAAATTCACTTCCACCCACTTAGGGGGCTTCAAATTTGAGAAACATAACAGACAATGGTACATGTGATAGATAGGTTTTTCAGTAGTTCAAGGACTATTTTACTCTAGTAGATAGCATAGTAGCACAATTTCTTGGCACCCAATTTGTTGGTTGACGTCTGCAGCCATAGTGAACCAGCGCACTCAGACTCTGCAGAACCGAAGCTTGTACTCTCATGTAAAACATCAATAAAACATTGATAGAAATAAACACAGTAGCATTGTAACTTGTATCGTGATCTTTACATGTATTAATTTGATCTGTGTAATACCATGGAAATATATATATGACATGATGTAGCAATCAGGTAAAATTTGGGTTAATCTTCACTGACCATGCGTTATTGCAACAGATATGACTGGTATGTCATTATGGTATTGTTAAAATGTACTGGTTGAAATTATATTGCTTGTATTGGATAAAATTATATTGCTTGTAGTGGATAAAATAATTCTTTAGGCTGTGTGTAAAGTATGACAGTAAATAATACATAAAATATTGAATTAAAATATTCTAGATTAATCACTAAGCCTATAATTATAACAATGCCTATATACCAGTGTTCTCCACAAATAAAATTTAAAGAGGGATGCTAATTTGCATATAATTAGCATATCTAAACTATTTTTGCATATGATTAGCATACCAATCAAACATTTCAAAAAAAATTCTTAGCCCTTTTATATTTACATCAAACTCAAATACTGTGTACAAGTACTACATTAATTAATAATATTCTTGAATTATTTTGATGAATAAATTGAACTACTTGATGTAAAAAAAATATCAACTTTGACAAATGAAGAATATCAATTTTATTCTCTGTGAAATTCTAGCCTTTTATATTCATTTCCTTTTAAATTTCTTTCAAGTATTTCCATTTTCATAGGTTTTATAAATGCACTGACATATTGTAATAGTTGAAAAACCCAAGTAATAAGAAGAAAAATATTTTCACATAACAAAATTACCGTTTAAAAGAAAAAGAAAAATCGAATCCGATGACTGTAAATAAATTAATCATTATGTTGATTTCATTATGGGTATTGAGGACAAAGGTCAAATCAGATACCGTGTCATCCATGTTGTTTCAGTGTTTACCGTACGTTTTATTTTGGTGATTTATTTGATTCTTTTTACTTTTCGTCAATAAAAGGCAAGTAACAAGCAATTGGACCAATAAATTGTTGTTGGTTCTTCTGTTCTTAAGTATCTTCGCATTGCGTTAATCAAAATGAGATATCACAAACTATGCAAAGCAATATATACTTTACTAATATACTGTAGTGCAAAATGAGATATCACAAACTATGCAAAGCAATATACTGTACTGTACTAATATACTGTAGTGCAAAATGAGATATGACAAACTATGCAAAGCAATATACTGTACTGTACTAATATACTGTAGTGCAAAATGAGATATCACAAACTATGCAAAGCAATATACTGTACTGTACTAATACACTGTAGTGCAAAATGAGATATCACAAACTATGCAAAGCATATACTGTACTGTACTAATACACTGTAGTGCAAAATGAGATACGACAAACTATGCAAAGCA